TTCTCCTTTGAAATGCTCCATTCCTGTGTTTGTCACAGTGAGGAAAACTTTAGTGGACACACGCTTCAGCTCCCAACTTGATGAGGATATTTGACTATGTGAATTTGAATCAAGGGGTTGGAAACTACAGACCTGAGACATATAGGATCCTGATATACCTGAACTTCAAGAAAATCCTGAGCCAGGCCCTAGATATTCCCAGGTCTCCATAATGAGGAAAACCATTGCCTGATCACTATAACAGAGCAGGACTCACAGCTTTTTATAAGTAGATACAGAGTTTTTGATAAATACATTTTTGTTTTATATTCATTTCCACAAAAAAGGTTTAATAGAACAAAACAAGTTTAATCAGGTAAATATCAAAAGGTACATTCATTTTCAAGGAAAAAAACTGGTAGATACGAAACTGAGCCTCTACGGATCATCACAGTTAATACACCTCTGTGTTTTATTCTCATTATATTTTCAGTCTACAACACCAATAAATATACTGGTGCATGAATTTCCTGGAGGCCAATATCCAGCTAGCATTTCGGACCAGAAACCGAATCTTTGCAACTGCGTCCCTTCCCTATTGTGATTGGCTCAGTCATTAGTCCCCGAATAGCACTTAATTATAGTTCTACTTGAAGGTCTCAAGGCTATTTTTCAAATTGAGGTGTGCTCCATGAAGCCTCTGAAATTAGTGAAGGTAAGATCCTCCAAGTAACTGAAGAGCAACCTACCCACACTAAATGGACCATGTCCAGCAATGAGGAGCATGAATTAGATCAGAGGAAAAACCCACCTTTGCTAAGAGGTGTTTTGTAAAAACAGTCAAGAATACATTGGACATGAATGCACCCATGAAGTTGTGGGGTTCTTAATCCTGTGCTAGAGTCTTCCCAGTACTGAGAGGGAAGATTCTGACAAATGGTTCGTAAGACTGTACAGAAATGTTTGTATATGTAGACACCAGTGCTCTCTTTTTATACCTTACTTTCCTTTCTGTGGTTTTTCAGTCAAGAATATATTCTGATGAAGTCATTACTAGGAAACAACTTTAAATAACCTTTAGTTGGTGTGTGTGTGTGTGCATGTGTAGGTGTGATATTTGTGGATGCCTGTAGGAGTATGTGGATGGGTGGGTGTGTATATCTGTTGTAGCCTTGTATGTTGCGTGCATGTTACACACATGGAGAGGTCAGATGTCTAATATCTCAACCTATTGCTCTCAACCCTGCTGCCTTTTCTTAGTAAAGGTCTCTTCCTGAACAGGAAACTCACCATTTTAGGGTTTCTGGGCATAGAACTCCTAGGACCCACTGTCCCAGTCTCCCAATGTAGAGGTTACAGGCATGTGTAGCCATTCCTGGATTTGTGTGTGTGTGTGTGTGTGTGTATAGGTGTGTGGATTCGAACTTAGGTCCTCGGGTTTACATAGAAGCACCTTTACGCCAATTATCTCCTTTGGTCCAGTGCTCCTTTAAAAGAAAGCTTATAACATACTTTTCTTTTTCATTTCACATTTTAGTAACATCAAATCATTCATATATAGTTGTCTTAGTCAGGATTTCTATTCCTGCACAAACATCATGACCAAGGTGCAAGTTGGGGAGAAAAGGGTTACACTTTCACATTGCTGCTCATCACAAAAGGAAGTCAGAACTAGAACTCAAGCAGGTCAGAAAGCAGGAGCTGATGCAGAGACCATGGAGGGGTGTTGCTTACTGACTTGCTTCCCCTGGCTTGCTTAGCCTGCTTTCTTATAGAACCCAGGATACCCAGCCCAGGGATGGCACCACCCACAAGGGGACCTCCCACCTTGATCACTAATTGAGTAAATGCCTTACAGCTGGATTTCGTGGAGGCATTTTCTCACCTGAAGCTCCTTTCTCTGTGATACCTCCAGTTTGTGTCAAGCTGACACAAACCCAGCCAGAAAAATAATTTAAATAATAGTGTGTGTGGATGAGAAAGAGGGGGAAGGGGAGAGGAGAAGCAGAGGAGGAGGAGGAAGAGGAGGAAGAGGGAGGAGAGGGGGAGGAGGAAGAAGGAGAGGGGGA